GTTGTGCGGCGCGTCCTCCAGAACCAGATGATAGTCATCGATCTTAGCGATGGTCTTGAATCCCGAGTACAACAACAGTATACCGAAGATCTGCCCAAACAAAGAGATTATGAGATAATCGCTTAGCCATTGGTTATTGAATGCAATCTCAAGACACTCACCACAAACACCAGATTGAACGCGAATAACAGGTATTTAACGCAAGACATTCCTCCGGAGACCATATTTGCTGATTGTTTTGTTCACTCAAATGAAAGACAACAACAAAACGACGTATCGATTGATAGATTGGAGACAGAAATGAGTGACTCTTTCAATGACTGAAACAGTATTGCAGACAAGCGTTGAAACCAAACGATCGCTTTGTTTACGATATGATAACCATTTGATTGCAATCACTCTCTCCTGCAGTCACTGTATGTATGCGTCGATCACTTGACAACAATTTCCCCATAAATAGCACTCTTTTGCTCATTAATACTGTGTTTGCATTCAATTTCACATTCACTCAAACACTGCACTCACTGTACAGTAGTTGTAGTGAACGTCTCTTTTCGTTGATTCACTCGTCATATGAATAGTGATTCACACAATAGATGCCACTCTTTCTCTCCCTCTCTTCACTCCCGCATCCTTTCGCACCTCTCTCTCCCTCTTTAACTAACCATAACTATCCTTAACTATTGACAACTAATTAGTTAATTGTTAATTGAATTTGCAATAATTGTATGGGAAAGAGCAATAGACATAAAATTGTAAATGAACTAGGTTAGCCTAGGATACCATACAAATCTTATACTTATTCTGTTGTGTATTTGTGTGGACTTGTGTTTATGGTATGTGTTTAAGAGATAGTGAATCTCTGTCTGCCTTTGAAATGAACGATTAGATTGCGGTAAATGTACTCATAATGTAATGATTGACTTTTCGAGACCACAACTTCGTTAAAACTTCAATATTTTCTTTCCCACAATTAAAATACAAATATTAGATATCGAAAGTAAATGTAATGAAACAAAGTTTTGCAGACTTGATATTATGATATGCAAAATGTTGTATAATATGTGGTATAATATCGATAGTGGTCTCAATTTATTGCTTTGATTGAAAATAAAAAGCAATTTACAAATTTAAATTTTTTATGAAAATCATACGATCTGTTTAAAAATGAGGCGACAATAGTCTGTCTGTGATTACATAGAATACATGCAACTAATGCTTATTTGCATTTCATATTTCGTTGTAATTTGATGTAAGAACTGACCCAATGTTTGCATTTTAAATACTGTATTTGCAGTAATGCTTTACATTTGAATGGTTGGCACAACTTTTAGTTTTATTAAGAATCAAAAGTTTATTGAATAAAAGTAAAAGTTTTATGTTTAGGTGTATGTAAAAAGAGATGGTAAATAATTGAGGTGTGTTGAAAATTCAAACAATTGAACGTCAATATGCATCACAACTTGTGATTCACAAGCGTTTAAACATTGATTGTGTGCAAAAATAAACAATTTTCAATTTTGTTACAAAAGTATTTTACGAATTACAAAAAGTTATAGACCAGTGAACCCGACGTTCCCTCCCCTACCAATGCCCTCCCAGTGCCCCTCCGACAGCATATTGTGGGCCCTCCTATGGCTCACCGAAACACAAACGTGTTGAATGCGAAACGCCTAAGAGGTGGTAGAATTTGTACCACAATTGCATTAATTATTTGTATTGTAAACATTTGGCTAAATAAATAAATATTGAAAATTGATTTCAAGATTCTGTGGTAACTAATATTCAACGCATATTATGCTTCGAGAGCTATGTTTTTGGTTATTTTGGTGCTCAAGTTGGAGAAAACACTTGTAATTGTTTGAATAAATGCTTTAATTTATGGATATGTGATATTAATTGTGAGAATTGATACTAATATTACGATTCTGTTTCAATTCAGTTATCAAGAAATGTCCAAAAATAGGGACTCGTTTCTGGGATTTTGCGCTTATTATCAGTAATTCATAACTATTTTAATATAAGAGGAGTATTGATGTTATTCTCAAATATCACTGTTGTTTGCAATTAATGTACAAATTGTGTGATAAGAAGAATTACAGGATATGGTATAGACTTTATAAATAAACATACAATTAAATTGTAATTATTTTCAAACTGCTAATACTTTGAAAATTTATCATTTTTAATTTATTACGCAATACATTGTTATGCGGACTATTTTTCCTAAAATATTTTTAGTTGTATTATAAATTATCAAATAATTCATCAACTATATTAATTTACACAAATTCAAGTAATACTGTGCTATTAATATTATTACAAATATAACATATCTGTGTTATATCTGTAATACAGTTAGATTTAACTTGTTCATTTAATTTATTCTCGCAAAATTTTTACTCTGATTATAATTTTCCGTATTAATTTATTGCATTATGGCCAATTATATAATTCAAATTGATATCTATATTAACAGCTAATTATGTATTATTAAATTAAATGCAATTATATGTCAAAACAATATGTACTTTGAAACAGATATTTCAATGGGAAAATTGCTGTCATATTTAAATCACTTTTTCGTTTCTTCGAAAACAGCTTCAAAAATAGTTTTCTATTAAATCATAAAACTTTTTTTGTTGGAAACTTTTGACATTTTCACATTAAAAGGCATTCAATATAATAAACAAAGGATTGTTTCCATTAATATCTCTATGCATTACGTGATGTATTACTCAATTCATTCATTGCTTTGTATTTTATGCAAATGTTTTGTTTTTATTTTTGGATAAATTCA